AATTTTTTGTTTGGAGTTCCCAATTTTATTGTTCTTAAGAAGGTTAGCACAGGAAGGACATCCTGCGTGCAACACTGGCACTGTTTTCTGGCTTTTATGTAACGTTAAGTATGTTTATAGAGTTAACTAGCACTAAAAATTTAATAACACCAGCCCTAGTCCCCAACTAATTGAGATGATGGTGTCGATAATGATAATGATGCTGATGATTATGAAGTTTATGATATTGTAACAATTTAACTTTTAAAAAGAGAAATGGAAGCGAATCTCAATCGAGCATATCAAAGTCAACTTCCATAACATATGACAGAATATGCAAACAAAAAGCAATCAAGCAAAATGCACAAGATAAAATAGACATGGCACCACCTTGCCTAATTTCTCTGGGGTCAACTCTTGAAATCTTGGTACAATTCGCCCGCCTGTGCATTAGGGCATAAAACAAAAAACCATGAGAAACCGTAGCTGGTAGTAATTATGGACCACAAGAACAGGAATAGCAAATTACATGCATACCTGTGGCTATTGCAATCAGCTCCAGCTCCACACCACCAACCCATCTAACGGCAGGTAAATTCCTATGCATTAACAAGTGATTTGCTTCATCGTCGAATCCCCACTGGCAAATAACCAAGGTGGCACCAACATCCTGCAAACCAATGATAGCATGTTCATTACTGAAAAGGAAACAAAAACCCCAATAAAACCAAATCCTAAGCCTGGTTTGTTGCAAATCATAAATCTTCCAAGTTATTACTTTGCTGAAAAAGTTGTGGAAAAAAATTAATCCCATTATCCCTTTTGTTAATACAGAGTACTTAATAATTGACTGAAAAAATATGAAAAATCAAGATTCTCTAGTTATTGAATAACATTAAGAATTGTGAAAATACTAAGACAAGGAAAGAAAATGATCACATTATCCCTCTGTCAATCAGTTCCCAACCGAGTCAATAACAAAATTGATGGCAGAAAGGCAATATTCATCAAAGAAATCTGAGTTATGAGGAAAAGAAAACCCGCTTGGGTGTATCTAATTTGAGGTTTCTTAATAAATAATGTATCATTATACCCCTTGTCTGGAATGGTGAATTTTTAGATCCATCTCAAAGAACAAAGTTTTCAGGTAAGGTGTTTAGTTTTTTAGATGTTAATTTCAGTTAGGTAATTCTGACCCCTTCAAAAAACAACTCGTCATTAAGTGAAGAGGGAAAACTTTTTTTGCTCCACTGCCTCCAAACGTTTTCAACCAAACACCACTCCAGAAAGTATTTTAATAGCTCCATCTTTCACATCAGAAAACAACCAAAAGAACGGTATCTAGATTCATTCAGAACCTTCACCTTTCATTTTCTTTCTTTAAACACTCCCACAAATATAAGAATGAAATCCTAAATTTCTTCACAGATTTATTCAACCTTCTCTTATAACAGAATAACTGCAAATGCTTTTTACCTTGCATTTCTGAACCATGTCATCAAAATACTTCTGCTCTTGCAAGCGCAAAGTCTCGAATTTCTCAACAGTATCAATGTCAACCTTATGCTTGGTCTTGGGTTTAGGGGGTTCAAACGGGCAAGTAAGGATGGCAATGTTTGCATCCTGTATTTGCTTGGGCATTTGAGGATGACTCATGTCTTTATCAACAACAATGCCATATATCAACTCCGTATCTTCAAGCTTTCCACCCACTTTCCCCTCCACTTTGATCAAGTCCAGGTTAACATCCTTCCTCTCCAAATCTGCAACAGCTAGAACTGCTCTGACAGCAATTTCAGCTAAGCTACGCTTGCATCTATTCACACTGCAATCAGAGCTCATCGTGTTAAGATGTGCTTAAGAGTATTAATAATTAAACCCATAAATAAATCACATGCTATATTTGCAAAATAGTTTTCTACAACACACTTGCCATTGTTTCCTTATTACAACATGAAGAATAGCTGGAACATTTTGATCACATTGTCTCCTATGAGAAAATAGGGGAAGCATGTGAGAAATATTAAAATGTTCCAGCAGTGATTGTTGAAAAAAATGTTTCTTTCACTAGAAATAATACTCGGTGGAGATCGATCAATACTGTAAGTTTATAGTTGAAATTGTCATTTCTTTACAGATCTTCCATATTTTATTTTATAGGTTTATGACATTTATACAAGACAATTAACTGAAGCACCATAAAGTGCATAGATAAGCAACAGTTGCAGAATACATAAACATAGAGTAAGAGTGCAAGGTTCTCATGTCTACATCTAATTAGTCACTTACATCTTTGAAGACAATGTGGTCATGCAAGTTTGTACTAAAGGCTCGATGTCATTCAGGCTAAATTCAAATTTGTGTGCAATGCGCTCTAGATGTCCAACTGCAATCCTGGATGCCATTTCATATCCCTCAGCAACACGGATAGGATGAATACCACGCTCTAACAACTTTTCAGCTTGTTCTAGAAGTGCCCCAGCCAGGACAACAACTCCTGTTGTCCCATCACCAATCTCATAATCCTGGCTGCGTGACAATTCCACCATCAGCTTTGCAATTTGATTGTCAACGTCCATCTGCTCCAAGATGGTTGCGCCATCGTTTGCTGCCATTTCATGAATCATTTTAAGAATTAGAAAACATGAAGATACAAATTTCATCCATTTTGTCCAAAATATTAGCAGAAGCAAATTCACAATGACATAATGATTGAAAAATTTTAATTTATACAAGCTACTCCAATGAGACGAATGAGTATTGCATAGCATCCCAAAATCAAGATAAGACCTTCCCATGTCACTCTCTATGGAATAAGACTTAACATTGCATTCCAAAACTACAATTGAGGTAACAAGAAGCAGCAGCAACAACAAAATGTAAAACTGCAAAGCAATATACCAAACGGAGTATCAAATTCTCTTCTGAACATTGCGTTGAAACATACACTACGTAAAAAGTATTAAACACACTTTTAAATGACTACAACACACTCAATGAACATCTTCACACTTCAAGCCCATCCATAATGAAAATGACGCCTGATTTCATCATGAATGTAGGAGTTATAGAAGCAACTAAGAAATTCAAAGCACCAAGGCACAAACTTCAAGTCTAGATTTTGGGAACACTATGGACTCGAAATCACTATCAATTCAATATCCTCGCAAAAGCAAAAAATGCACAGAAACTAATTCAACATAATCGAACTCAAAAAAACTCATTAATTACGGCACAGAGATCAGATCAAATCAAAGGGAGTAACAAACTGATGGTCACGTCGCCGTCGGGGCTCTGGAGCATCTTGTCCATGCCTTTGGGGCCGAGGGAGGTCCGGAGGATGCGAGAGACAGCCTTTCCGGCGGAAATGTTGGCTTTCTGGGCATCGATGCCTCGAAGCCTCGTCTTCTGCTCCTGCTCCTTTATGATAATGAACGGCCTGCCGAACTCATCGAACGCCAGCGCCATTGATGCTCGGTCCCAATAGGAATGTCGAAACTTCTCCTATCAGGAAGACAGAGATCGAAGAATAGAGTGGGAAATAAGTCGAGAGTGAGCTGCAGACTGCAGCAGTTTCCTGAAGATGTGGTTTTGAAGATGAAATAACAGAAACCCTAGGATGGTCATTTACAAGAGGAGAAAAAAAATTAAAAAAAAGGGCATTTCGTTAAAATAAAATAAGGGTAAAATTTTATAATTACACTTTATGCAAATTAGAGAGAAATGAAAGTGAGAAAATTATTGTATTCGGTATATTTGTAACTTTTTTTTGTCAAAAGATTCATTATTGCTTTGAATATTGCACATTTAGTTTGGTTTTATTGTGTTTGTATTTTGCTCGTTTTGTAGGTTATGAATGGAAAAATATCCAAACGAGAAATAAAACATAGAAAAAATATTAAAATAAAAATTTCATACTGTATTTTTATATCTTTCATGTTTTTACATTGAAAATAAGAATTACGGAGTACAATGCAATAATATCAACATATAATACAGAGTACCAAAAAACGTTATGAAATATCAATATACAATGACACATTGGGCCTGTTTCCAAACAGCTAATCCCAAACAGGGCCATTGTCACGTTGCAGACTTTTATTTTCGAGATAACAATATCAAACCCCTCTTTTGGAAAAATAAAAATTATGTTTTACCCTGATGGTGTAAATTATCGACCGGTATATCGTTTTTAGCTGGGCAAACTTTGGGAGTGAGCTGACCCGGACCGAAGAGCGGTTGGGAGTTCGTCTGCTGAGAAGGAGGATGCGGCTAGGTTGCGGGAAAAGAGCCGGAAGAATGGGATCGCGCAAATCACGGGAATTAGCTTCCATAATCGATAGCTACCTTAATTATCTAAAGGGATATGTATAAATAGAGAGGATCCGAACGAAAAACCTCAAGCTAAACCTAGTGTATAATTTCATAATTCTCAAGTTCTTGTTTCAATTCTGTTTTTACGATCCGCCCATCAAGCCGGATTATTTGGTGGAATTCTTGTCGATTAAGCTCTGAATGAAAATTGAAGGCACCGAAGTAATATATATATATATATGTGTGTGTGTGTGTGTGGTATATAAAATTGATTATTTATGAAGTGAAGTTTCATATTGTTTATTAAATATTTCCACATCGAATAAATATTTGAAATAAAGTTTATTATACTTTTTGGTCATTTTATGTTGCTTATTAGAAAAACTCAGATGATTCAGGGCTGTGGCCCATGTTGCTCGGATCCCCCTCTAAGACGGCCCACCCATGCACGCATATATGCACCCACATAAACTTCAAAAAGATTGTTTTGTTTTGGAGCAATGCTAGGGGTACACCAAAAGTGTATCCCAATTGTACACCACATGCTTCTCCACCACACATCTTTATTTGATTTTTATTTATTTATTTATTTATTTTTAATTTTTTGTCAAATATTGTGGACCAGGAGGGGGTGGGGGACATTTGGGGTACATCTTTGGTGTACCCCTAGCATTTTTCTGTGTTTTGTTTTATTATTTGATTTCACAAACTCTAAACACATTATATTGCTACATTTTATGTATGCACGTATGTATGTATTGCAGGTACAATTTAAAAACATATATATCCATGTGTTACAAGCTTTAAAAACACAAATCTCAAATGACCATTTTTCATACATAAATCATAAATAATGTATGATTTTAGAAGAAAAATGATCCGGCGGCGATGGTGGCGGCCACGGCAGCCACAATGGCGGGGACTCCACCGGCAACGTTGGGGGCGTTGTTGGGTGCTCCAGTCGGGGTGAAGCTATCGAGAACCGAAGAAGGGATGGGCCCACCAACCGGGGCGGCGATGGTGGTAGCACCGCCATCGAGGGTGCCGATGACGGTGTTGTCGTCCGTGGTGGCACCGGGTGCGGCGGAGGACGATGCGTCAGGTGCCTCTGTCGCAGCCATGCCGGCCACGGCGAAAAAAACTAGAGCGAGAACAAACAAGTTGCGCGCCATTTTTTTTGTTTTATTTTGAAAAATGAATAAATAAATTTTGGGAATAATTAAATTTGTTCAAGCTCTAAAATGCAGCAATTCTCTCTTGATGATGGTTGGAGAAAGACTGCAATGGAGAAGGGTCATAGAGATTTTGGAGGCTTTTATATATAGGTTTTGTTGATGGATGCATGGCGAAAATTGCGTTATGTCTTGGAGATTTAGTGGTTTTGCGAAGGTTTAGGACCATTAAACACATTTGGTCTTAATTTTGGGTCATTTTTCCACATAATCAACTAGAGAAACTAATTATCAACCATCCATTTTTTATAGGGAAAATTATATTCCTCATTTGGCAATACTATTGTACACATTTATTTGGTAAGATGTACTTAATTCTAATTAGAATATAATATTGTCCACATAGGAGGTCTGTACATAAATACGGCGTACAAAACTTTTTTGTCGCTATGCAATGTGATAATATAGGCATTAACCGATGGACCCAATTGCCCTAAACTTTTTGCCCTATATATGATCATATAGGCATTAATCGATTGATAATATAGGCATTAACCGATTAGACTGCTTCTAATTACCTTATATTTTTAAAAAAAATTGACCGGGTGCTACTGTATCATCACCTTTAACGTGAATTCGCCAATGCCGAGATAAAGTAGCGATACCACATCCAGATGTATGACGTTTTTCGTATATCTGTATGAGTACTCATTTTCGAGTAAAAGAATACTCATGTTTTTAGCTCAACAGACTTTTAGAAATTAAAAATGAGTAATCAGGTATTCGAAATCTTAGTTCTCTATAAATTATAATTTAAGGTCATGATTTTGGTAAGAATTAGAAGTTACGGTCATGCTTGATCACTTCCTTCTAATTCTTCTTAAGTCTACCCTACCTTCACTCTAACCCACTACTGTCAGCTTCTTGCATATTTACCCTAGAGTCTTTGCACTTCGTCAATGAGGTCTCGCGTGCCCAAACTACCTCAATTTATCTTCTAACAATTTATCCTCCACACATGCCATTTTTATCCATCTCAGATAACCTCAATCTAAATCTTATTTAACATCGTCTGCTAACACATTGACTACATCATTTGCATCTCCGCCACATGGTGTCGGCGAATGTGAACTTTCTTGAACGTCTAGTACTCTACTGCAAAAAGTATAGTCGGCCTTATAACAAATGCTATCAATTGTACTCCAATCATCCCAATTTAAATTTTTAGGTTTTAGTTCACGATGTTTGAATAATTGTTTTTCAGTTCATTTAATATCAAAATTGGTATGAAATTTAAACACAAAATTTATATATTTAAAAACTATATCTAAAATTCTTATAAAATAAGATGTGATATAATTATATTATTTCACCAAACAAGTTTAAAAAATGAGTAATGAAAGTGGTTGAAGCCACATAAATAGTAAGCTAATAAGTTAAATTGGGACAGATAATGAAGTAACATTTTTCATACTATTCATGAAATATTGTAGATTTTTTATATTTAGTACTTAATTATTAAATATTAGGGTTGTGATATTTCTTTTATGGACAGTTTTCTACAAATCATCCTTTTTTGACTTGTCATTTAGGTGTAAAATGAAGGACCAAAAGTACAATTTCACATCGGCTCTATGTCTAGTCACTCTAGTGACATATTCACATGTCGGCTTGACAAATACGGAGTAATATACTCCACTCCCTTTGCCCAAAATCTCTTTCCCTATTTGATTTGGCACGAATATATTAAGAAAAGTTAAAAAGTGTAAAGATTTTCCATGTCTTGCTCTTGATGCGATGGAATAAAGTGAATAGTGCAGATAAAAAGTGAGAGATATAATGCTACATTTATTAAAAGTTTTTTTTTTCCAAAATATGAAACGTAAAAGAAATTTTTAGACGGTCCAAAAAGAAAAGTGAGAAAAATATTAATGGACATATGGACTAACAGTAACTAATGATATGCCTATAGTTGTGGACTAGGATTCTGACAAAGACGACATCTCTAAATTATAATTGCAGGAGACAATGATTTCTGTTAACAAACTACACATTATAGTCATTTAGTAGCAACCATTGGCATTTGTTATGACCTGTAAGATATATACTCCATAATCATTATAAACTTACATTTTTAGCATTCAATTTAATGTCAACATGTATGTCATAAGATAAAAAAAGATTATTCGCTGAAAGGTACAATATTTAATAATATTTACACAGAAAAGAAAAAATATAGGCATAATATTTAATAATAGAAGATTAAATATGAAAAACTCTTTTAATAAAGGATCAATTATAGAATTTACTCAAAAATAAATGATTTGTTTGAATATCAAAGCCATGGCTTCACAATTCAAATATTGGCCGCAATATATAATGTACAATAGTTTTTCGTATATATGCAGTGAGTACTCATTTACCAATAATGAACTATTGATTTTTGAGTAATTCAATATTTATTTTCAAGCACCTAAATTTTCATTTTCGAATAATTAAATACTCATTTTTTTACATTTCTATCATGCTTATGATACTATTAAATTAGCACCTACTCCTAGCATATCCTCTTGGCGTGAAGTTCCCGGGTTCGCTAAGAGCAGTGGGTATACTCTTAACGCCGCTGGGCGTTAAGGAGCATTTCACGCTTGGGGGGCGTTAAACACCGCCCCCCTCCCCCGTTAAACCAGCGTTAAATTTTTCGCGTTATAAGTTTGACGCAATTTGAAGGCGTTTGACACCTTCTTTTTCTTCTCTCCCCCTCTTTTTTCCTCTTTTTTTCTCTATAAATTAAATTAAATTTAACACAAATATAAATTTCTCTCTATCTATCATCTTTTTTTAAAAAATTATTATTCAAGTATTTTTTCATAAATATAATTTTTTTATTTAATGAATGTAGTTTTTTATAATGAATGTAATTTCTTTATTTAATGAATGTAATTTTTTTTATTTAATGAATTTAATTTTTTTTATTTAATGAATGTAATTTTTTCTAATGAATGTATTTTTTTAACAAACTATTATCATTTCAATTCTTTTAAATAATTAAATAATTAAAGTTTATTAATTTAATTTTAGAAGATGTTTATTTAAAAATGTAAAAAATGAAGGTTTGAAGCACCAATTTGAAGCTCCGGGGCTTCAAACTCATTTCGAGTGAATTTTGAGTGTAAGTTAAACTGAAGTAGGAGGGAAGGTTTGAAGCCTGTTTGAAGCCAGGGCTTCAAACCCATCACCAGTGCTCTAAGGAAATCAGGCAGTCAACAGATCGAAGAAGCGGGACGAAAATGGTTAAAGTGGCGACGTTCTTCGCGATGACATTGGGTGCCTTCGCTTTCTGGCAGTCGATGGATAAAATCCATGTCTGGATAGCTCTCCATCAAGATGAGAAGGTAATACTACTAACCCTATTCTTATCTGAAACGATGATATCATATTGTGTTTGCTTCCGAAAACGGTGTAATTTCGTCATTGATCCCCTCCTGAAAGTTCATAAACTAATAGGGTTTTCTTCAATTTCTTGTAAGCTTTCGATTTTTGAATGAGGGGAAAGTGAAAAGGGAGACAAAGCTTAGAAACGAGATCTTGATCTTACAGAGACTTGGGCGATTAAATGTCATTTTCTAAACATTAATAAAATCCAAACTAAAAGTTATCACAAGAAGGCTGAGTTTCAACTATGGGTTGGCATGTGATTGCCGTTGAATTGGCACTTTGTAATTGGGTTGCATTATTTCTTGATAAATGGCACTTTGAATTTGAGAAGATATTTTTGCTAGAAATTGCTCCCATTAGTCTTCGGCGCCCTTTATTTGACTTCATCTATACTTCAACATCATAGGTAACTAAGGTAAGTTGTACCGATGATCTTTGTCAAGGCACATGCTTTGCTGCTGTGCGTGCGTGCACACTCACTCACACACACACACACCAAGGTAGAGACATTGTGAAGAAACTTATTTACATATGTTTTATACGCTTTATGAAGTTTTGAGTAGTAAATGTTGCAATTCATCAAAAGGTCTAAGCGGAACAGCCTCTCTATTTATTTGCAAGGGCAAGGCTGTTTACAACTTTACATCTTGACCCTAGATCCCAATGCTGTTGGGATTACACTGGGTTTTGTTGTTGTTGAACTTACCGATCTTTTATAATGAAAATTGGTTTGGGCCAACTGCAGAAAGAGAAAATGGAGATGGAAGCAGAGATCAGGAAGATGAGGGAGGATCTGATCAAAGAAAACAAGCAGCGAGAGTCACTTTCCTAAGCTGCGTGAGCTGCATTTAGCCATTGTTGTTGTTTTTTAATATCCATTCGAACCATAAGAGATTCAAGACTCAATTGTGGTTTTCATAAGTCAAGCTGATTGTAATGAATGTAATCAACAAAGTCTAGTTTGGACATCTCTGTATCTCTCTTTCTACAATTGGCTTGGAATGTATTTGGATTTTGAAAGGCTCTCTTGCAAAACCCGTTAGCTGTTTTTAAGATTGAGTAAATCCCACTTGTGGGACTTGCCTCATTGTCCGTGCAGTTTCTTTGTTCTTTTGCAACCCGTGTTAAATCAGTGACCTTTCAGTTTTTTTGATATTGTTGTGGTTGTATTATGTTTGAGTTGCCAATGGGTAGGTTTTGATTTTTGGTACCCATGTTTCTGAAAGCTTTAGAGCAGAGGGCAGAGATGCAAGTTTGAACTCATTTGAGTAATATTTCAGACATTCTTGTCATCATAATATCTTACCCATTATGAGCATTATGTATAAACTTAATTCTTCCCTCCCCCCTCCCTGAGTAATTATGGAAATTTAACCTTTTGGAGTATGTATGCAATGACAATGAATACGACAAATAGTGTGCATTTTACGTGTGGGTCTGAGTAATCTCATATGATGCATGTACTAAAAATAGCACTACCAAATGACAGAACTGAGTAATCTCATATTATGCATGTACTAAAAATAGCACTACCAAATGACAAAATATATTAGGTCCTCAAACCTGCCAGAAATCATCTCTGCCTCTCTGGCAGCTCCCAATATTGTCACCTGTCAACTATCCGAGGTAGCGTGATTAAGGTCACCCTCTTTTCTGTTGAAGCTTTATATCATTGCAAACTTCGAATAAAACAAGGAAATTGTTTTGATTTTATGCTATTTAAGAACGTACAATATCGGCACCTGTCAATAATAATCTCATCTGTTTTCCAGTGAGTCTCTGAATCTTTGATTTTGCAGGGATCATGGCTATGGAGTTGGTGAAGATGCCATTGGTTGTTCTGGGCACACTCTCTATGGTGCTTGTGCTAGCTAAGAGCATCGAGTTCACAGATGGCGACTTGGCTTCTGAAGAGAGCCTGTGGGATCTGTATGAGAGATGGAGGAGCCACCACACTGTGTCCAGAGACTTGGATGAGAAACAGAAACGTTTCAATGTCTTCAAGGCGAACGTGATGCACATCCACAAGGTGAACAAGATGAACAGGCCTTACAAGCTCAAACTGAACGGCTTTGCTGACATGACAAACCATGAGTTCAGGAGTGCTTACAGTTCCAAAGTCAGACATCATAGGATGCTCCATGGCACCAGAGCTTCAACTGGATTTATGTATGCGGATGTTGAAAACCTCCCAACCTCTGTTGATTGGAGGACGAAAGGAGCAGTGACGCCTATAAAAAATCAAGGAAAATGCGGTAAACTCCTTGTTTTTTCAATCCTCCCAAACCTCCGCCGAGCCTGACTTATGGAATATATATATCCAGAATATTATGACGGTTTGGATGGCTTAATTTTCTACCAGGTAGCTGCTGGGCTTTTTCGACCGTAGTAGGGGTCGAAGGAATCAACAAGATCAAGACTGGACAGCTGGTTTCTTTGTCTGAACAAGAGCTTGTTGATTGTGAAAAGGACAATGATGGCTGCGATGGAGGACTTATGGACAAAGCGTATGAGTTCATCAAGAAGAAAGGTGGAATAACAACAGAGAGGCAATACCCTTACATTGCAAGGGGTGAGAAATGTGATTCATCAAAGGTAATAATGAAATATGCTCATATCTTATAAACAACCAGCTCTTAATATTTTCCCCTAAATTTACAACTCTGTCGGGTTTTTGTTTTGAAGATGAACACTCCTATTGTTACAATTGATGGGCATGAAAACATTCCAGAAAACGACGAAAATGCTTTGATGAAAGCTGTTGCTAACCAGCCAGTATCTGTTGCCATAGATGCCAGTGGTTCTGATTTGCAATTCTACTCTGAGGTATGCTTAAAATTCACACCGTTCATAATAATCCTGTCATCAGTAGACCTGGCAAAAGAGAACCGAACCCGATAACCCGAACCGAATAACCCAGAACCGAACCCGAAATAACCCAAAAATTGAAAAACCAAATTAAACCCGAACACCCGAATTGATCTGAACCAAACCAAAACTGAACCGAATGTATTCAGACCTGATTCAGATCCTAATCCGATTGAATCCGAACCGATTACACCCGAACCGATTAAACCCAGAACCATAAGACCCGAAACCGATTAGATCCAAAACCGTATAGATCCAATATTGATCAAATTCAATGCAAATTAAACTCAAATCCAGTCAAACCGAATAGCTCATTAGTTGATGTCTTTTTCAGAAAAACATATTTAAATTATAGGTACAACTAATTTCATGTACAAATCTTTTATTTCGTATTTTATCACCTAAACTAAGGTCGTCTTTATTTTATACTGAGTATATATACTTTAAAGTGACATCGTAACACACATTGATGGATATACTGACTCATTATTGCTGTCACATGTAAATATACCCCCCGATACAGATTGGAGGGGAGGCTCCACACAAGGCTAACGTTAGGAACTATAATACCAAAGGATCTCATATGAAACCGGTATGAACTCGATCCGGTAAAAACCTGAATTGATATAAACCCGAATCGAAATAAACATGAACCGAAACCGAACCGAACCGAAACTGGGAAAAAATCAAACGAAATGAAACTCGGAATCAAATTGAACCAAACCAAACCGATTAGAACATATATCCGAAAGAGACTCGAACCAAAAAGATCCGAACTGGAACCAAACTGATTGACTCGATTGCCAGGTCTAGTCATCAGTATTTAGAATCTGCTTGGTATGGTTGAGTTCGAATTATATCGCTGAATTTACGTGGATTTAAAATGAGGAGTTAAGTGGCATATCAATTCATTTGGTGCAGGGAGTGTTCAACGGACAGTGTGGAACTGAGCTAGACCATGGAGTTGCAATTGTTGGCTATGGAGCAACGCATGACGGTACAAAGTACTGGATAGTGAAGAATTCATGGGGGACTGGTTGGGGAGAGCAAGGTTATGTTCGGATGGAACGTGGGGTACATGCCGAGGAGGGACTTTGTGGCATAGCCATAGAAGCCTCTTACCCCATCAAGAAATCATCCTCGGGGTACCCCAAAGATGGGACACCCAAGGATGAACTCTAGGACCAGGTCCTCCATACTGTGCTGAAATGAATGTTTTGTGTGTAAACTTCCAAGACTCCATTTCCTTTTTCTTCTAAAGTGGCTATTGAGTTTAGCTGTGTGTGGAATAAATAATCTCTTCTTTAATGGCTCTTGTGTGTGTTGTACTTTTATTATACCCAACCCTTCAAGGAAATGATATAAACTGCAGTCGTTTTGATATTTCGGTCTCATCGTGTGACACCAAGTGAATTTTATTTCTGAGGGCATTACGATGCTTTTAACCGTGTTCTTTTGACATTAGTCCTTGGTGTTATATTTTAATATGGAGTGATTTTGATGGCCTACGATACTCCGTTGGATTTGAGGATGGGCTCCAACCCCTTGGCCTTACCCTTTGCCTTGTTCACCTCCCCCACCCTCATTTTGATTATGTCCCAAGGCCAACCCCCTCCCTAGCTTCCAAACAATATTAACCACTACTTGATCCCACCCAAGCCCATTTTGATAGGGGAGGGGGTGCATGCCTGGGGGAGGGGGTGGGTGGGAAATAAGTATAAAAATATTCTTACTTGAAAGTTTATTTATACCTACGGTGTAATAACTTATATGCGTATGTTACGAATCATATGCAGAATAGAATAAAACATAGAAATAAAAGCATAAGTATCTTATTAAGGACTTTGAGTCCGCGAATGTTCCTGTTTCACAAACTTCATCAAAACAACACATTAATTTGACAAACAACCTTTGCACCATTAGGATTCACCTGGGATATGACAATGGGCGTCTCGACTAATTGTTTTACAACGAAGATTTATATGACTGTCTTCAATTGCTTTCAAGGATTTGAAAGGTTATTTTTAAACCTTTACCTGACGCTTATGTACAACTTAAGAATTTATACATATATCCTTGTAGCACACCTTCTATTTGTTACATATGATAAAACACTAATCCACTTAGACTCCATCCAAGCTTCCAAAAATACCGATTTAGAGTATTCGTGCAACTTATTGATTATCGTGTGATGGTTTATATCTACACTAAGGCATCAACACCTTAAGTAATGCTCCTTATGAAACTTATCCACAAATATTTCCATCATTGAAAACTCTTTTCTCACTTTCCATTCACAAAATCATCGAATAATCAATAGAGGTAAATCTGGATTTGTATCCTAACATCAACAATAAAAAATGATCATGCTCTACATGGGATTTCGCACACACCACAGACATGTTTTGCTTCTTATAAACCATACTGGAATCATAATCTCATATTTTCATTTACTTCCTCTCAACCTATTGTTCAAGTTGTAGTGCGGAATCATGAAGACTAGAGTTCATTTTTTATCGAACAACAACATTTGAAGTAATGTATTATTGCGTATCCATTTAACACATATAGCCAAGTTCATTATTTGCCCTTCATGCTGGTATATTTCATATCCCATTTACATATTTAAGAAACAGATAATATAATCTTGTGACTCCTCGCGTTATATTAGAATTTAAACAAATACTCTCTTCGTCCCGCTATATTCGTCTACTTTTGATTTTTGGAACTGTTCATCTAAGCACTTTGACTCATCAAATTCTCTCAATGTGTAAGCTTAAATATAGTCATGTGTGATCTTGTTTGATTTGTCTTAACGTATAGATTATTAATATATAATTTCTATAATTTTTTAATTTACAAATTACAAGATAAAATGGATTAAAGAAGTGTATTGGATGGTATGTAAAAATGAAAGTGGACAAATACTCTGGGACGGAGGTAGTATATCATAGATTTATCAAATGTGGTTATGTTTGTCTTTGCTTTAGAGGTAGATTTATCAATTAAGTTTATGTTTGTCAAAATTACTAGTGGTTAGTGTATTAATGTAGTACTTGTTAGCCAACAATTTTATTGTATAGCTTTAGTGTTCTAAAAAGACAGCCTAACAATTACTCACTTCATTCCAAAATTATCTTTCTATTTGTTTTTTCACGATCTCTAATGTATTACTTTAACCACCAATATCTCTATTTATATATAATTTTATATGATGAAAATATGATATTTTTAAACATTATTTCAAATTGAATCTACTAATATTAAATTAATATTACAACTCGGTATAATTTTTCTTATTTTATGATAAAAATGTAAAACTTTTGACTAAGAAAAAGCAAACAAAAAGATAATGAGAACGGAAGGAGTCTTATGTTAAAAAAACAATTAGTACCATTAAGAAACAATCATCTAAAACCCTAAGGATTTTATTCCCCTGTTCTAAATCCGGCGAAAGGAGGCAGCCATAGCCCTGCGCCTCTGCGAGTTTAGATCTCTGCCCTTCGCCCGTCGCACGACCCCAGTAGTCCAGTATCACGCCGCCGGCTTCGCCTCATCGTCTCCGACTCTCCTTGGCCGTGCCTCCATCTTATCTTGCCGCCGAACGCCCACAGCCCACAGGTAACTAATTTTCTTTATTTTATGAAATTTCATTTTTATGGTAGTATGAAGTTTGATATCAATGAGTAATGATATATGATTAGTAATATATGATAGTTTTAAAATTTATACGTTTAAAAATATTTGTATTCACTACTCATTCATTACAGATTTTCCTTCAATGAAAAATTGATTACAGATTTGAAGTGATAAGTATTAATGTTTAATTTATGTTTAAATTGTGTAGTTAACATTAATTTTTTTATTTATAGAATTTAAAATGCAAAGTTATTTCAAAAAGCAACCCAAATTCAAAGAATCGGAGTCGAGTGGAATGAGTAAGTGATTTAAAGAGTATTCTTGAGCTCTCAATGAAAATGGTGTCCACTAAAAAGTCTCATACGTATGGTTTCGTATATACTCTCATAAAGTTGGCATTGATACTTCCTGTTGCAACAACAAGTGTTGAATGCTCTTTTTCCGGAATGAAGTTCGTGAAGAATGAGTTGCGGGATAAGACTTGTGATCAATGGTTTAATGATTGCTTCGTAACTTATGTTGAGAGAGATGTCTTTTCTACCATTAGTGATGATGTAATTATAGTTCGCTTCTAAAATATGAAAACTAGACCAATACAATTGTAAACGACATGATTTTCATATGATTTTATAACTACGTATTAATTATGGTACTATACAAATATTAATTTTAGTTTATTGTTAAACATTATGACTTCTGAAAAAGTTTGAGACAGGACTTGGATTTAGGGCACCCCATGATTGTAAAATCCTGGATCAGCCTCGTCGTCTATGTTTCTGTTGTTTTTACTTCGTAGTTTCGATCAGTTTTCTCAATTGCATTGGTTTTGTTCTGGTGGTATGTTGGATTTCTTAGTCCAGGCGAGAGGGAGAGAGGTGATCAATAATGGCCGCAGCTTCAGACCGGCAAGCCATGGAGGCAATGGCGGAGGGGATGTTGGCGTCTGGGAGGACCGCAGAGAAGCTGAGCTTGCCTACTCTACAGTCTAGGATGAAGCGCGATCCAGAGGGATATGAATCAGAGCTGAGTTTAGTTTACAGCCAATTCAAGTCGTTTGTAGAGCTCTTTGAGCAACAGGCCGCCATGACCTTTGTCTCTCATAGAGGAGGCAAAGATAATGACTCCACCATCGCCAAGGACCTTGGAGACAGGGTCACGTTCTTGGCCCATGTCACTCCATTCTACCCAAAGCAGCTTGCGCATTTCCCCAAGGAGCTTGCTCAGTTTCTTCGTTCCTCAGTCCGGTCTCTGCCTTCCGGCCTCCGAGTACAAGTTGCCCAAGCTTTGATTCTCATGATTAACCGGAAGGTATTTTGTGAATTTACTTGGAAATTATTGCATTGGATCCCTTGGTACTTGTGGAATTGTTGTAAAGAAGCACTTTTTTGTTTGCCCCTTCATCTTCTTGATTAACCTTTATGATCTTCAAACAATCTTAGTGATCGTTAAATTTTATTTTTATTTTTAATTTTGACGTGTATAATGATGCCAAATGGGCACGTTTTACCTGCCTTATATTTACTCAAGAATATATATTGATCAATGTAGGATTAATTTACTAATTATTTCTTATTGTCGTTGAAGATCATTGACATTCCGGCGACACTTGAGTTATTCATGGAGCTACAGACCCTAGGAGACAGTGTTCTTAGGAAATTGGCTTTCTCACATGTTATTCATAGTATTCGAAAAATGAATCAGAAGCATAAGAATGATCCAAGGAACAAGGAGCTTCAAAGTATATTATTTGCTATGCTGCAGGTGCTTATTTTTCTTTTTCGTGTTTAAGTTCCATGATGAAGTTAGTTGGTTTTCTGTATGTTGATGTGAGAGTAATAATCATTTTACAGAATGAAGATGAAACACAAGCAAAAAGAGCACTCATCACGGTCCGTGAACTCCATAGGAGAAAGGTTTGGTTTGATGAAAGGACATCAAATGCCATATGTAATGCATGCTTTCACACCTCTCCAAGGTTGGAATCATTTTTACACACTCTAATATATTTGTCAATTTCTTAAAGCCAAATCTGTAAGACTGATATATATTTGATTTTTTCAGAATCATGATTGCTGCACTTTCATTCCTTATTGATTATGAGAAGGTTGAAGATGGTGACGATGACAGTGATGGTTCAGACACTGAAGATGACCAGAGAAATCAACAACCTACAGTTGTGGTTGATAAAGAGGCCATTTATAAGGTTCGGTGTCTTCTACGGAGTATCTGATTTCATGACAGGAATATAATTTAATTGCTGTGGCAATCTGCAGTCTGCACTTAAAGTTATCTTGTACTTTCCAGTGTTGTAGACACTGTATTCTCTTCTTGAATCTTGAGTATCATTGTTTTACTTGTGAAGTTGTGGATATTCTGTCTGCAGCCTCAATCTGATCTATTCTGAAAATGCTTTGGAGCCTGTTGTGTAGCTAATTAGCTATGTTATTCATGAAATTGGTTTTCAAGTTTCAGACTTTTTGCCGATATGAGTGGAATTAAAAGATGCATAGACATTGAAATGCTTATTTCTCCTTGCAATACCTTTAATATCAGGCAAATAATAAGGGCACAACCTCCAGTAAAAAGAAAAAGAAAGCAAAGTTACAGCGTGTTATTCGGAGCTTGAAGAAGCAGCAGCGTTTACAATCAGATAATAACAACAATTCAAACTATTACTCACCACTAAACTACTTGAAAGATGCACAGGTTTGCCTTTCTTGTCTCCTCTCCTGTTGATCTGATTTCAATGCTGAATGAATGCCTATAATACCATATTATATTTCTCCTGCAGGGTTTCGCAGAGAAGCTTTTTTCACGTCTTCAAACTTGTAATGTGAGGTTTGAGGTATTACTTGTAATCCCTTCACTTTATGATGTTATATGTTTTTGTGTAGCTGAACTTGTAAAGATTCAGAACTTGTGTTTTTTTGTTATTCTTTCAGGTCAAGATGATGATGCTGAAAGTAATTGCACGAACAGTTGGTCTTCATCACTTAATCTTATTACAATTTTATCCTTACCTTCAGAAATATGTTCAGGTGAGCTACTTTGCATTATTGTTGCATGATCGACTTTGTACTTCTTCTTATGTCATTTATCAATGCATGCAGCCTCATCAACGAGATGTGACTAACTTACTGGCTGCAGCTGTTCAGGCCTGCCATGATATGGTACTCTAATAGTTTTATTAATTTCATTGTCACTTCAGTTTTGTCATCCATCATTTAAAGTTTTGTCTAAATCATTCTCAAATCATGCTGACCGTTTTTCATAGGTGCCGCCTGATGCTGTTGAACCACTCTTTAGACAAGTAGTCAACCAGTTCGTTCACGACCGATCAAGGCCAGAGGTATTCTATTATTCTTTGGAAAAATGTATATTTCTCCATAGTAATGTTGATCTCATGCCTTCAAAAAATTTCAGGCTATCTCTGTTGGCCTTAATGTGGTAAGAGAAATGTGTTTGCGTGTGCCTTTGGTATGTATACCTCTTGACTCTTGGCTCCCATCTATATAATCTGTCACGTTTAGGGTTTTACTGAATCTCACTACCCACCCCCACCCTCACCCCCACCCTTTTCTTCTTAGTTGATGACAGAGGATCTGTTGCAAGACCTTGCATTGTATAAGAAATCACACGAGAAGGCTGTTTCTTCAGCTGCTCGGTCACTTATTACATTATTCAGAGAGGTAAGGTGTATTTTTTTTGCTTCTGCCATAAATATGGGAGTATGTACTATGTGGTCCTTGTATTTATGGGAGTATGTGGTCTTTGTATATGCACATGCTAACCAAAGATATCTGCACTCTGCAGATCTGCCCTAAACTACTTATCAAGAAAGACAGGGGACGCCCCTCCAATGCAAAAGCAAGGCCCAAGGCATTTGGTGAAGTGAATGTTGCTAGCAATGTTCCTGGCATCGAGTTGCTAGAAGAGGAAGAAGAAAGTGATGATGACGATGTGGAAAACGGGTCTACCGTCTCAGCTGACAACGGTAATGGAAGTGATGAAGATCTGCTTTCTGCTGAAGATGACGAGTCGGATAAGGATGATGCATCTAAACATGAACTTAGTTCCTCGAGTGACGAGTATGAAGTTGAAGATGATAGTTGCAGTGATAATGACAACTCCGATGATCTAGAAGATGAAAAACTGTCTGATGATGATGATGATGATGATGCAATTGACCATGTAAGCGAGGATGATGAAGAGGAATTGGATGGTCCATCTGATAGTCCAGGTGCTGATGATGGAGAAAATAGGTCCAAGGCACAGAAGAGGAAGTTCGATGAATTTGATGAAAAGCTTCAAGCTTTGCCTAGTAGTCTTAGGGCTCTAAAGAGGTTAGCAGGAGCAAAGGTTAAAGGTGATTCCTTAGACACACAAGATGGCATCCTGTCCAATGAGGACTTCCAAAAGATCAAAGAGCTGAAGGTATTGTAGGGTTTACTAGCCGGGTATTATGTTAATCATTATGGCCTTTCATTAATAAATTTTCCATGTTTATTATCTTCTAGGCTAAAGAAGATGCAAGAAGTGCTATGTTTAAGAATGGGTTAAAACTCCCCAGCTCAGACCAACTTAGTTCCAAAAGAGTTGATGCCTCGAAGCTTGAGGTTTGTATTCTTTATCTGAAAGATTTTTTCTTTTTCTTTCCCGTTCAATTTCTGTTGTATTTGATATGGTACGGATTCTCCATATGTATACTCCCCAGCCCCCCTACCCCCCAAATAAAAATTAGTAGTAATAATGTAATAATAAAGAGGTTAATAGTACGGAGTATTCTAAACTTGTAATATAATTATTTCTGAATGTTAGGCTAACATAAGAAAGAAGTTAAGCAAAGAAGAGAAAAAAGCATTAATGAAAGCTCGCAGGGAGGAGCGACCAAAGTACCAGGCTCGTGCTGCTACTAAGCAGAATAAGGTACATATTTTCTAATCTTCTCATTCCTTTTTCTGATTTCTTGCAGTTAGCTATTTTCTCAGATGCACTCCTTGTATCATTATGAGCTGGGGTAATGTCTGCATCCACCACTCCACACAGAACACATTTGGGATTTTTGTAGATAGACGGGCTGCATTATTTTCTCATTCTTATTGTGTTTGTCTGAAAGAATCGAAGACTTTAACACTTTTTTCCTGGATAAGGTTTGTAACAAGGTTATTTGGGTAGGGTGGAAGTGGTACATGTGGAGAAGCTAGACTAAGGTGGTTTGGGCATGTTAGGAGGAGGGCAAAGGTCATTCTAAGGAGATGCAAGAGGCTTACAGTAGAGGGCTTGAGGAGGGGTAAAGGTGGACTAAGAAAGAGTTGGAGGGAGTTGATTGGACGAGACTTACAAATTCAGAATTTTACCGAGGATATGACATTTAGATAGGAATACATGGAGATTTAAGATTTGAGCAGTTGGGTAGACTTGTGGACCTTCGCTTGCAGTTTATGCTGGTGCATTTTTATGTCTTAGTTTGTAGCTTGTGCTTGTGTGCTCTTTGTTCTTTATATGTCTAGTTTTTAGAGTCGGCTTGTTCGCTTCTTTTGTCCTTGTTCGTACTTTGTTCATGCTTCAGTGGGTTCTATGCTTGTACTTTTGTATCTAAGTCGAGGGTCTCTTGGAAACCTCTGAGAGTTTTTACTGGGTTTCTTGCTGTTTTTGATTGCCCGTCCCCAAGCCAGACGATATCCAGGGAAAACTCTACTCTCTTGCATCAGTGCATCACTCTTCTTTCTTAGATCTCCACTCTCTCTTTCCATTTCACTGCCTATAATTCAAAAGAACAAAATGTGTCAAGCTCTTTTTTTACATTCTCATGTCCTGACTATAACTTGTGCTGCAAATTCTGGGCAGACTGGCGGTCTAACCGAAAAGCAAAAGCAGCACAAGAAGATTATGCCGCACGCTGCAAAGAGAGAAAGGTTCTCAAAAAATAGACAGAATAAGAAAAAAAAGCAGCGTGGAGCTGGCAAACAGTTCAGAGGGAAAAAAGCATGGAAATGACACACGTCTCTCTCTCCATTTACAGAACATAATCTCAGGTCTGTTTTTTCTGATATTTTTTATTAGCACACTGTAGAATTAGCAATGGGCAATTTAACACTCATTTTACATTGGCAGTGATTTTTGAGAATATGATGATCATGTGATTCTTTATTTTTACAAACCTTAAAAAAGAACAGAGCCAGAAATCTCGTGTTTTTTGTTCAATAGAAATTTACTTGACCCTATCCTATGTAGCATTATGTCTGCCAGACCTTATTTTTGTGTGGAATTTTACTGAGTTTTTTGTTGTGCGCTGGATTGGATGCATTCACGGATGATTTGACAATCTATGTTGATATACTTCAAACGCTCGTGAAGTATCAGACTCACCAACATGATTATATGTACACTGACCGAGCGTGGAGTAAGAACAACCGTATTGTTTGGCCATGTTGACAATGTGGGCTTGGCTACCAAGCTTGGCCCAGCAGTTTGAAGGCCTAGCCTTTCCCCTACCTAATTTGCCGGGGCACCCGTTCGAGTTGGGTCAGTCCTAATAACACTCCATAGCACTATAGCAGGCCAAAGAGTACGTATACGAGGTCGAATTAATACACGTTAAAGTGTAAACGTTAAAGTGTATTTTAATAAACGTTAAAGTGTATTCTTTTTGTTACTTTTTTTAAAATGTTTATTTAGAACTTTGTCTATAAAATCGTATAAAAATTCAAAATTATTTGTGTGATATAAAAATAAATGAAATAAAAAACTATATAAAAAGAAAAAGCCGAGTAATCGCAAAAAAGAAAAAAAATGGTAATGGCAAAATAGAAAAAAAATATTTATTAACGCTTATGGATGAAGTATTGGATGAAATGTCCCCTCCCATTCATTACAACAAAATGTAAGGACCTCTGTTGTCTTCTTGAAAATAGATAGAGGGACCTGAGAGTTATTTCTACAAAACTCGCGTCACCTGTGAATATTTTTCTGCAAAATTATTGGTGACATGATTATGTCATTATTTTATCAAATGACTAACTAAAATAGGGAAAGAAATTGAATAAAGTGTAAATAATAAACATGCAGTTTAATTTGGGACGAAGTGAATATTTTTTTTTATTTTCCTCTCTAACCAAACAAGAAAAAATATTTTTTTATCTTTTTTTTCTTTCAATTTTTTTTTAACCAAACATAGTGCGAGAGGTGTATGAATTAAAAATGCCTGAAGATTTGCTCGAATGTCTTGGTGACCTTCTACATCATTCATGTTTAAAGTGACAGTAAAACAATTGTACACATTACATTCGATCTTGTTTTTTCAGAAGTCAATGAAGTACATCGAGATTTACTACCAAAGGAAAATGAAAAATTTTGGGTTTGAAGCATATTTAAAAAGAAATAATGTGGTATTGTACATTGACATTTTACTATATTTTTGATAATATATATGTCATGATTAGTAATGTAAATGCATTTTAAGTTTTTAACTCCTATTTCAAGAAAATATAGAATTTTTATTTTGATAAATTTTTAATTTTATTCCTACTTTAGTCTTTTTCCCTAATTTTTGTTTGTACGTATAGAATTAGGTAAAAGTTAAGATCACATAAGTGATTCTAACATTGTCCAATATATTCTACATATTTCCAGCTCCAATAAACTTTACTTTCTCCACTTATATGGTCAAATTATAATCTTGTTTTAATTTATTTGTTTAGATTTAACTTTTGAAGTTAACTAGGATGAATTTTTATTTATAACTAAATAAAAATTACATAGTACATTAATAAGATAAAACAATAGTCAGACATCAGTTTATAAGATAAATCTAATAAAATTATTTTTATATCAATATCTAATACTCTGAGTATAAATTATGTTTAATTATTGATCAATGTTTGTCAATTTTGACTGGAAAAAATTAAAATCAGAAAAATACTCTAGGACCAAAATATTACTATCTTTTTTGTAATTTGTTTACTCTAGTTTTAAGTTTTTGTTAGCACTAGTAATAACTTTATTCAAACGAAATATTTGTTCAAAAATATTTTTTTCAACATATTAAAGCACAAAGACTTACTGCCACAATTGTGGTTCGAACTTTGTGACCTTTTATATTTGAAATAGACACACTCATGCTATAGAACCACTAATCTTTGACACTTGTTTAGTCTGGTTATTTATTAAAATAATATAATTATAGGTTAGTTTCAATGACATTGGAAGCAGTATCGTCTAAATTTGATGATTCTCCCTTTCTAACTAATCTAACCTCCTATATGCCTCCACCCCAGGGCCCTCTGCATGTAGCCAATCAACGAAGAATGGTGCTGGGGGAAGGGTTAGAGGGGATTATAAAAATAGAAATCATTTATTTTAGGAACGAGATACAGTATATGCCCAGTGTCATCAATGATATCGAACTCTATGTCACCGGAATTGTTCCGTATAATCATAATTTTTTTTTAATTTTTTATTTCTTAAAATTTGTAGGAAAAAAAGATTAAAATAGGAGTAAAAAATAGAAAATGTACCAAAATACATTTACGTCGTATTAACTGTAGCCAATCAAAGTAAATGTATATTACCAAGTATACATAATACATTTACAATGAGTTAAAATACCAACGAGTATATAATACATTTACGTCGTATTATGCCAATATATAATACCAAGTATCAAAATATGAATTAAAATACATTTACAATGAGTTAAATATATTTTTATATTAAAATATGCAGATTTCTTGAATTTAATTTCTCATTTTTTATGTTTTTTTATATTTAAATATACTTTCGTTTTTTTAAAAAATACATATTTTTGTGAGATTTTAAGTTTATATTAAATGCGTATGTATTCATCCTGAGTTATCCCAAAACCGATATCGAAACATCGGAACAAAAATTTTGGAATTGAAACGACTTAAAATATCATCCCGAATTAACAGATTTGTTAAGAAAATGGATACTAGCTAAACAGAGTGTCACGCTCAACAAAATGCATACGAAATGAAAAGGCCTGGATTCCTGTAAATTGTCCTCCGCAAGGTGGCGTTCATCTTTCAGCTCAAGATTATGCTCTCAGCTCTCTCTTAACAGTCACAGTGTCACTACAAGAAGAATCCATGGCTATCTCAATGAAAAGGAGGGATTGAAGGTTTGAAACCTTCATCGCCCTTCTGCTCCATCTCTCCCTTTCTCATCTCAGCTACTGTTTCAGCCCTCCTTTTCTTCCCCACCGATTCCATGGACCCCGCTACCTCGCGCCCTGCTGTAGTGATCGATAATGGAACCGGGTACGCGAAAAATGTGGGCTGAAACCCTTTATTTGTACTCCGCATTGCAAGTGTTCGACGGATTTCCCTCGATCGGGATGACGGATCTTGACGATCGCTACTGTTTTCAGGTACACGAAGATGGGGTTTGCTGGAAATGTGGAGCCGTGCTTTATCCTCCCGACGGTGGTTGCCGCCAACGATTCGTTCGTGAATCAGCCCAGGGCTTCTTCCACCAAGAGCAGCAACTGGCTGGCCCAGCACAGCGCTGGGGTTATGGCGGATCTGGATTTCTACATTGGGGACGAGGCCTTGGCCAGATCTACTAAATCTAGTAGTACGTACAACCTTAGCTACCCCATTAGGCACGGCCAGGTGGATGATTGGGACGCCATGGAGCGGTTCTGGCAGCAGTGTATCTTCAATTACCTGCGGTGTGATCCCGAAGATCACTATTTTCTTTTGACAGAGAGCCCGATGACCGCACCCGAGAACCGGGAGTACACGGGTGAGATAATGTTTGAGACATTCAATGTTCCCGGGCTTTATATTGCAGTGCAACCTGTTCTTGCTCTAGCTGCTGGGTACACCACATCTAAGGTCGGGATCCATTCGAATGAGCTTGTTTAAATCTATGAACAATTGTTTAAGTTGGAATACGCTTGTTTTTTGATTAGATCTTCATCTGAAAGAGTTGTTATGGAGTATGATGTCTGAACAATTTGTTGCTTCTTTGATAAAAACATGAACCTATCAATCCTTAATGATTTTAATCAATGACATTTTGATATATGCCCAAATTTTTCATACAAATTTGTTGTCTTCTTTAGTGTGAGATGACGGGAGTAGTTTTGGATGCTGGCGATGGGGCTACGCATGTTGTACCTGTTGCAGAAGGTTATGTTATTGGGAGCAGCATTAAGTCAATTCCCATTGCCGGGAGAGATGTGACTCTCTTTATTCAGCAGCTTATGCGGGTCAGTATCTACTTGCAATTATCTATAATATAATTTGTATGATAAATGCTTGCAGGGATTATAATTATGCAGGAAAAATTACAATAGTACATTTAACCATCTCTGGTTGAAGTTAAATAAGGAGCACAATATAGCCACCTTTAAACATGTTCATTAGCTCCCTTGCTATCTATGTTGTTAATGTGTTACTCGTAACTACTCGGTCAAAGGCATAGTAGTAATTAGGAGCGATTGCTCAACAACTACTAGGTCATGTAATACTCGGTCAGTATCTACTTGCATCACTTGCAATTATCTATAATATAGTTTGTATAATAAATGCTTGCAGGGATTATAATTATGCAGGAAAAATTACAATAGTACATTTAACCATCTCTTCTTGAAGTTAAATAAGGAGCATGATATAGCCACCTATAAACATGTTCATTAACTCCCTTGCTATCTATGTTGTTAATGTGTTACCGGTAACTACTCGGTCACGTAATAGTAAAATAATTGTAGGTACACACACAAAGCAAATAAACATCATTCAAATCAAAGTCTTAGTGTCCAACTGCACTTGTCTAAAGTTCATCACTCAATCAAGTATGCAACTCCTAAAATTCTAAATGCGAATCATCTTCCGGTTCAAGATTGGTGTTATCTCCATCTCCCTTTTTTATTGCTTTCTCCTATTTCTGTGCTGAACTTTTCACATTTTACCTTAAACCAAGTTACTTGTTGAGCAAAACTAGTCATCAGGTAAAGAAAATCACACTAAGTTTATTTTATTGTATCGATGAAAGAGGCTACTGACTACTCTAGGTGCGGAGTAACAAGTATTCATCAGGTAGTTGCTGCAATGATAACTTGTCTTGCAAAGTTGATGAGTGGAAAGGGCATGCTTCAAGATGGTCATAATGATATTAATTTCTCAGATGAGAACCTTTGTGCATTGCCTAGGAGGATGCATCTCTTATTCCTCATTGTATTTCCTTTCACGTTATTCTGATTAAGTGCATGAATATCTTGATTGATAGAAGAAATGATTCATTTTTATCCCAGATTATTGAAACTAATATTTTATGTTGTTTAAAACAGTTATGATATTTTTGCAATGCTTGTGGCTAAAGATTCTCCCAGAAATGCTGTACTTGTTTTTATGTTTTTGAATGTAGGAAAGAGGTGAGCATATTCCTCCAGAGGATTCATTTGAAGTAGCCCGAAAAGTAAAAGAAATGTACTGTTACACTTGTTCTGATGTTGTCAAGGTATTTCAATTGATGGCAGCCTCCATAATGGATTTGTTAAAAAAAAGAATAAAGGAAAACTTTGTGTAATTTACACTTTTACAGCTAAACTAAACCCATACTATCATACTTCCTTTTCATTTACGTGTATGCGAGTTAGTTGATGATGTCCGATAATTAGACCTAACCTCTCATTTCATCAGGAGTTCAATAAGCATGACAAAGAGCCATCAAGGTATGTTAAGCAATGGAGAGGTACAAAGCCCAAAACAGGGGCACCATATTCTTGTGATGTTGGCTATGAACGGTTTCTTGGTCCTGAGGTTCGTGCTATTATTCCGTGGTATAGCATGAATGTTCTGAATATTTAATATTCTAAACATTCTCTCTCAATCCACACCTGGCCACCCCACTCCTAAACAATGAACATCAATAAATGTGGTCCGGGTCCATTTTTTCAAACTTACCTTGATTACCTTGCGAGTTAATAGTTTGACAAAAGATGTTATTAACATAAACGCTTAATTTCCGTTCAGGTTTTCTTCAATCCAGAGATATACAGTTGTGATTTCTCTACTTCTCTGCCTGCTGTAATAGACAAATGTATACAGTCGGCGCCAATAGACACAAGAAGAGCCCTGTACAAGGTGAAGTAAATTTGTTGATAAATTGAATCAGGAGTCTGTTGAAAGTATAATTTCTGTTAGGACATGTGTATTTGGATCTCTTTTCGTTCATAAAGGATGCAGTTTGTTAAAGTTGTGAATTGGTTAAAAGTAATGAGATATTATCATGTACTGGCAATAGTAATGCAAATGCCCTAAAAATCTATATTAAGCTCTTAGGGTCATTATTTTTGTTCAAAATCCCTCGCACAGCATACCTTGTCCCTAGTAATAATATATTGCACAATTTTCAGAATATTGTTTTGTCTGGAGGATCAACCATGTTCAAAGATTTCCAGAGAAGACTGCAACGCGATTTGAAAAAGATAGTTGATGCTCGTGTTCTTGCATCAGATGCTCGGTTGGGTGGTGAAATAAAAGTGAACATCTTTCTTTTGTCTCCTATTATTGTATTCTCCCTCCGCCTCAGTAAATTTTATCAAGTTTTATTCACACTTACTTTACGAAAATGAAAACTCTAATACACCAACAAACCCATTAAAGTCTCACAAAAGTATGGTTTAGGGAGGGTGTGTGTACATAGAGTCACAGGCCTTACCTTTGCTTGAAAGTAGAGAGATTGTTTCCAAGTGACCGTCTGCTCAACACAATATCGTACACAAAGTAAATACAATAGCACAAAGTAAGGGCACAGAGACAAGAAGAGCGCACGCACTGATACTAGAGCGAGACCCAAAGCACAAAAGCATAGGAAGCACACAAACACAAGCTATAGTCACAGTTTTCCTAACATGTAAAGCTTATAAAATGGAATAAGAGATCTAAAATGGAATCAGAAAAATTACGAAAAATATAAAACTCTATGGTTGAGATTTATTTTGAAGAGAGAGAAACGATATAAGCCACAAATTTCTTTCCTTAAAATGAAATGGACACATTTGACGAAGTTTCTTGAGGGAGTCGGGAGGTAGTACTTAAATCATTGCCCTCTTTAAGGGACCTAATGAAGCTTTTCACTGTTAGGCACAACCAGTGGAAGTGAATGTGGTCAGCCATCCAATACAGAGATATGCAGTTTGGTTTGGAGGATCTGTGCTTGCATCCACTCCTGAATTTTTTGCAGTAAGTGTTGATTTCATATTCATATTCTAGTAATTTTTTTGTTTGGATTATTATGCAATTATTAGAGAATTAGATTAAGATGATGCTTATGGGCTTAATCCTACATTTCATTGTTCCATCTCTGCTTTCGTCTTCATGAACGACTGATAAGGATATTGTTCACTTATGCAGGCTTGCCATACAAAGGCGGAGTACGATGAGTATGGAGCCAGCATATGCCGCACAAACCCTGTATTCAAGGGCATGTATTGAATAATCGATCCCTTATATTAACCGAGTTTTTTCTTCGAAATCCCAATCCAGAGTCACATTGGTTTATGCTATCAGCTGTGTGATGGATAGCGGCGGTGTAGATGGTAGGCAGACTCATTGATTCTTTCCCTCTCCCTTCATGTGAGGCACCTTTGGTCAATGCTTCAGATGAAAAAGAAGTAGAAAAAGGTCATTTGTTTTATTGTTAGAATTGAAAATGATGTTTTTTTTCATTTGTTGAATAATTGATGTCATATCTGTTAGTACAATTTAGGTATAGTTTTGTTGTGCCATATGAACATTGAGTGTTCATATTGAAAACTGTTTGTATCTCAACCATTCTCCCCTCAATATATACTCCCTATTCTTTTGTACTTGTGAAAACATGTACTAACTTCGTTCTATTGTATTTGTCCAGTTTGGTTTTTTTGAAACAACAAGATAAATTTCGACCATTAATTAAATAAAAATTATGTTGAGTATTAATACAAAAAATACTTTTTATTAGATTTATCTTGCAAATATAATTGATACTCCATAAATAATAAAAATTCAATGAAAATTGTGTTGGGTATACTCATTTACTCCATACTAATCTCCTAGAGTCGATTTTTAACTTTTTACAATCATAATTGCCTAACTTGACCATTGAAGGGCAAAGGTTGGTTTTAATTGATTACAAAAAGTTAAAATTGGACAAACATTTTGAAACAGAATAAGTACTATTCGGGAGTATTTTTTGTTAATACATGTGGAGTAATGTAAATCAATCTTTTTTTGTTGAGGAAAATGTAAATAACCTTAAATAAGTTACAAATAAAATTTGAAAAAAAAGAATTAAATCATTTTTATTTCACAAAAGCGAGAACAAGAACTCTTCCTTTCGATTCTACAACTTAGTCAAGTAGTAAAAGGACAATGTACCTTAGAGATTCATGTATTATCTAAAAATATTTAAATTAGTCTTTGCACTCAAAATCAAAGGAGTCTAATTCATGTACTTTTTTTTGTTCAATCATGTTTTTTTCTTCACTTTCCTCTTACTTTTTGCCTCAAATTCTTAGAGATGCGTCTATTTTTACTATAGATGACATGAAATCATTCTCCTGACATGTTAACTCATAATGATTTTTAGTTTTTTTTACCGAGAAGTCTAATAACAATACATATTTATTTACTTTCTTTTATAAAAAAAAATATGGATAAAATTATTTATTATATAATGACTAAAATTAGATTAAGAGTATGAATTATTATGTTAAACAATATTTTCATGTCATCTATAATAAAACTTAACGTTATCGATAAGAATTTAGAACAATACGGAGTATATAATTTGATTGAACAAAAAAATAGTACAATGACTAAATTGCTTCAGTTTTGACTACAGAGCTAATTTGAACATTTTTAGATCATACGTAGACCTCTACGATACTTTGTCCAATAGTAAAACACACGGCTTTTTAAAAAAAAGTAGTAAAACATACATATCAAATGAGCCAGAGAATTTTTTATTTACTTATTTTTTCTAAAAAAGTAAAATCTATAATGGTCGCTTCTAATTTTGAGATATTATATTCGCACTACTCAGTTTTCTGAAAAATGAATTTAGAAAAGTTAATAATAATAATAATGGAATTATCCTTGACTCTGTGACAACGCCATGTTTTGGTTTTTTCATTTAATTTTCTTTTTTTATTACGACACTTATTTTGTTATAACTTTTTGTATGTAAGTCAATACTTGACAATAATACACATATTACACTAATATTTTCACAAGATCTGCCTAATGACACTAATATTACATATATAATTTTAATTTTATGTCTGACTTGTATTTTTCTTCTAAAGAGTTTTGAACTGAACGTGCTATGTTTTATCATTATAATATAGTGTAACTTGTAATGTATTTTTATTTTTTATATTTCATATGCTTTTTTCTTCATGTTTTCCTACCAATCTTTTTTTTCTTATTTTAAGTAATGCATGTGTATGCTTTTTTTTAATTCATGTAATGATGCGTTTTAAAACTAATAGCTTCATATTTTAAGTGCATCTAATTGTTATAATATAAAAGACTAAAAAAATTAATAATCTAAAACGAGAAAAATATTACTAAATGATAGACCAAAAGTCCAAAACCCACCGGGTGTGTATTTTTTAGTCCAAACAATACATGTGTAAAATATAGGAATTATATAAATAAGAGCGGAGACAATAAACTTTAACATGGGAACCGAAATGGTTAAAACCACATGCCTTTTTTGGCGGTACCATACCAATGAGGGTGTTTTAATATATCTTGGGGGTATATTTGTACAGCATACTGGCGTGATAGCCATTGATGGAGCTCAAAGCTACATTGAAGAAGATAGGGAGTGAAAGAAGATAGAGGAGGAGATGAAAATAATGGACAAAAATTACGAGATACAAAAGAGTATATTACGACAAAAAAATGAAATTAAAGCTAAATATAGTTGGAGTACTATTTTTTTTATAGAGTGATGCTTATATGCTCTCAAGGTCACATTTAAAATGTGACCCTTCTCATATTTTTCATGGGCTTACATGTGAATATTTTCTTTTTTGTAAAAATCACGCTAATTTATTACATAAATACACTAAGGTCTATAAAATGAACATGAATTTTAGGCCCACGGAAGAATTTGCCTTGAGTGCTTCTATGTACGGTGCACCTTGGGTGCAAATTATTTTTGTGGATCTTCTCACATAAATTTTTTTTTTCTATTTTTTGAAACATAGATAATGCTTATTTAAGTAGTAACAAAATGCTTATTTTTGGTTCCCAGTCACACAGCCACCATTGCGGCTACACTGGCGTCATTAAGAGTGTAAGCGACATAGCTGTGAAAAGAATGCTTAAAATGTAACCGCTACATTCATGGAAAGAGAATAAGTCAACTTCCAAAATTAAGGAAGTCAAAAAATTATTAAAAGGGTATAATTGATAATTTGGAATGCCTTCACACTGGAATTCTCATTTAAGTCAAAAAACTAAGGGAGTGTTATTTACATAATATTGGTGTTTTTATAGTGCTACCTAGGCAAATTTCTTATTAATTTAATGCTACATATGGAAAATCTATTTGATCATTTACATTTTTTTCATTTGTGCTCGTTCTCACATTGAAATAATATTTAATTTTGAAATTTTCAATAAAATAAACCCAATGAAATTATTTTTTTATCTAATAATACTTCCACTGGTTCTAAAAACTTTTCATGTTTTGACTATTTTGATCAAGTAGTGGCACTCTTTAACCATAAATTAAACATAATCTAAATAATATATAAATGATATTAAAATTTGATATATCAAAATTATATCCTACGATGAACTCAATTATAATGAATTAGTTCGTATTATACTCCGTAATTAAATCTACTTTTCTATGGTCAAAGTGTCACTACTCTTTCATCATAACAAAGTCAAAACAAGAACTTTTTTTAGGATTGGAGGGAGTATGCATCATGCACAGTTTTTATTTAACTGAGACCTAGAGTTTGTCCATAATTTGAACTCGAAGAAGTTAAACTAAACAAAAACACTGAAACTAATAAACCATTTTTGAAATACGAAAATGGATCACCCCTAGAATTAAATGCACCGCTCTGCATGTTTAATTCATTTAATGCTACGTATGGAATTGAAAATTCCCCATTTGTATTTACTTATCATTGTGAGTGCTTTTAAATATGGAAGTAACCCTCATTCGGGCAATGGAAATTCTTCTAATGCCGGCTTCGTTATTTTCGTTTTTACGCAGTTAAGGGGTTAAATACTGCCCCCTTAAGCTGATTAAAGTGGCATAAATAGACCTGGCAAAACTGACCCGGACCCGATAACCCGAACCGAATAACCCGGAATCGAACCCGATTTGACCCGAAAACTGAAGAACCAAAATAGAACCGAACACCCGAAATGATCCGATCCGAACCGAATGTATTCAGACCCGATTCAGACCCGAATCCGATTAAACCCGAACCGATTAAACTCGAACCGATTAAACCCGAACCCGGTTAAACCCGAACCCGATTAAACCCGGAACCGATTAGACCCGAACCCGATTAGACCCGAAATTGATCAAATTTATTAATATTTCATTTATCAAATGAATTTGGAGAAAAAGAATTACCTATATATTTTTACATATGTTGATGTGTTTCTAAAAAAAACATATTTAAATTATGGGTGCAAACCATGTAACTACTTTCATGTACAAATCTTTTACTTTGCATTTTATAACTTAAGTTAAAATACTTTTGTATTTTTATAGAAAGTATATAAAAATTATAGTTAACTAAATTAACTAAGTTTATTATGTGATTTATTCATTTATTAGTATGTATGTGTTTACATTATATTTGAACTAATATAAATTTAAACCGATATAAACTCAAATCTATATAAACCCAAATCAATACAACCCGAATTGATACAAACCTGAACCGATATAACCCGAACCGATACAAACTCAAATCTATATAAACCCCTTAATGGGTGATTTTTGTGTTGATTGAGCGACTCGACCTACTTTTCAGAAGGCATTGTAGCCGTTGCAACTAAAAATACTTTAAAAAATATTTCTTTAAACTAGAGGCCCTGGGTGGCTGTGGTGGGGTGCAAGGGGATTTAGGGGTAGGGGGTATGAACAATCAATTTGACCAACGGAGCACCATAAAAGCCTAATGCCAAAATAAGAACTTGATTTCCAATGTCAAAAAAGTCTTGATTTTGTTTTCTTAAAGGTACTGATCAAACAAGATATGTTATGTGTGATCGTATTGAGGAGAAATTCTTTGTCGCAATGAGCAAAGACCCGTCCTACTTGAACAAGGACCAACTTACTTCCAAATGGATCTACATAAACAGAAAAATCTGAAAATTTATTGGAGTGTACGAGGGATGTGCTAGATCCAGGAAAAGCAGAATGAACAATGCCAATATTCCAAGGCAAGCGATTTCTTGATATCAAGCCGATGGACACTAAGGCAAAATCATTATTGGTTTATGGAAACTTTTAAGCCGTTCCCCAAAATGGCAACAACTTTGAGTGCGGATTGTTAAAAAAATCCTCTGCCGAGATTGACATGGATGATATCATTGGCTCATCGGAACAAAGATCTCCCGTGAACTTGGACGACTCGGGCAACGAGGATGTCATTCCATACCCAAACGGGAGAAAGAAAGCTAAATCAGTTGCATCATATTCTAAGTCTCACTATGTTTCCTCTCACGATGATATTGGGTGACAAATAGTTGAATAATTGCAGTAGTTTAATCTTAAAGACCTTGATACGTTAACGAAATACTGAGTACAAAAGAATATATTACGATAAAACATAAAACGATATCAAAGCTAAATATACTTGAGAGTACTGTTTTTTAGAACCTGATACTTTGAGTGCCATCATAAGACCAATAGTCCTTCCCAAAGGGGGTGTGAATCATGAAGGGTGTTTCTCTGTGTTGGTGCTTATTGACTTATTACTGATAATCAGTTTTAAAATATAAGCTGTTTATAAGTCAAATATCCTTTAATAGAAGTAAAATGACTTAAATGATAGATAAGTCACTTAGAAATATTTATAAATAATGAGAGATAGTTTTGTAAATAATCTGGTTAAAACGGAGAAATAAAAAAACTGGGTTAAAAATAAGTAGTTAAGACCTACTTATTTTTTCTGGCTTATAAGCAGCTTATAACTCAGTTTATAAGTACACAGAAACATGTCATCAACTACTTTATAAGTTAAAAACTACTAGTATTTATAAGCAGTTTTGACCAACTTAGAGAATGTTTGACAGTGATTAACTTGTGGATAAAGTGATTTTGACAAAATTTGAAAGCAAAAGCACATCATAAGTGCTTCTTCAGAATGATGTTTTGTGTACAAAATAGTAGTAGAGAAAAGCAAAAGCTGGCATGCCAAACAAAATAAAATTACTTTTACTCAAAGAGAAGCTAAATTCATAAAAGAGTGCAGTGCCAAATACTTTCTTATAACAAGATAACACCCGCATAATAAATATAGGGACATCTACTTCTGGGCAATGACCCTGTAAATCTATAATTTTCTCTTTCGTCCCCAAAGAAAATCGAAATACAAAATATAGTCTAGTTGACCGGCGTTTCTTCTAAGCGGTAGAAAGGGCGGCGAGAAAGAGAGAGAGACGAGGAGGAGGAAGGAGCTGAGTTTTGGCTGCTGGGAGGTGAAGCGTAAGAATTTTCTGCAATCTTTCTGCCGTTGGATCGTTCTCTGTTTCTTCTCATCTTGAGGATTAACCTAAAATTAAGTCAAGTCAATTTCTCTTCGGATTTTCCTCATTTTTTTTGTTTATTCACTAAATTTTCCATCGTAGGTCCGGTAACAATGGCTCTCAATCCTCTTGATGCTTTAGCTCTGGAATAAAAATGCAATTTTTTGGGGATTTGAATGCGGGATATGTGTATTGGAAGAACGGCATCGTGATTTTAGTTGCTCGTATTCTGTGTTTTGTATTTTTGCTGTGGGGGATATAGATTTTTATAGCGCATCTTGTTACCGATTGTGCGATCTAGCTTTTATGTTTCTCTGATCTGCAAGAATTTGTTGATCTCGTTGGTTGTAACTTGTAAGATCTTGATGTTCTCCTTGCGTTAGATTTGATGAACTCTATGTAATTGTGTTATTTTCTAAAGATATGCGATTCGACCCTCTCATCTTTTGTAACTTAGAGTTAGAAGTACCTCGGTGCTCACACCCTAGTGAATTTTCTGTAATCTTCCCTGACAGTTGATTGGTGTATTTATGTCACTGGATGATGTGAATTTAATTATCAATTTTAAATGATTTAAAATAGGCGGAGATAGATAATCGTCAGCTAGTTAACATAAATGGATCCTACGCCCGATGACCATTTAGATTTTGGTGACGAGGAATGTGGAGGAAGCCAAAAGATGCAATTTCTTGGAGGCGGAACTATCCCTGCACTTGCAGATGATGAAATGATGGGCGAGGATGACGAGTATGATGATCTTTATAATGATGTTAATGTTGGAGAGGGTTTTCTTCAGATGCAGCAGTATGAGGCACACAAACCTCCTGATTCTGTTGTGAATGGAGTATCCCAAGCTCCGGGAAACAGTACACCTGAACCAAAAGTGGAAACCGTAACTCCTCCAGATATGAAACCTGGTTTAGTCAGTACTGGGCTGCGATTTCCTGAGCAAAAGAGTGGGTATAATGCTGAAAGAGGTCCGGATCAAGCTGCTGCTTCTGCTGCTGAAAAAGCAAGGCCTCCATCAATGACTCATGATGCTACTGTGAGTAACATGGGATTTCAACCATCAGTTGCTATGTCTCACAGAGCTGTTTCTGATCCTGTTCATGAAATATCTGGCAAAGTTGCCAATGAGTCTTTGTCACTGCTGAATTCTGGTTCAGTTGGGGGTTCAAGAGCTCCAGTAATGCCGACTCATCAAATGAGCTCTAATGCCAATCCTGACATGAACCACCCTATGATCAATGAAAATCAGATGAGGCCAGCCATAGAGAATGGATATACAATGCTCTTTGTGGGGGAGTTGCATTGGTGGACTACGGATGCTGATATTGAGAGTGTACTAGTTCAATATGGGAAAGTGAAGGAGATCAAATTCTTTGATGACAGAGCTAGTGGGAAATCAAAGGGTTATTGTCAAGTGGAATTTTATGATCCTGCAGCTGCTTCTGCCTGTAAAGAAGGAATGAATGGCCACATTTTCAATGGCCGACCTTGTGTGGTTGCATATGCTACTCCTCAGACAATAAAACAGATGGGTTCTTCTTATATCAACAAAACCCCAACTCAAGTTCAAACTCAACCAGTACAAGGAAGGAGGCCCATGAATGAAGGACTGAACAGAGGTAGTGGAACGAATTTCCCCGGTGGAGGAGATGCAGGAAGGAATTTTGGTAGGGGAGGATGGGGACGTGGTGGGCAGGGAATGGCAAACAGAGGTCCTGTGGGTGGGCCTGGAAGAGGAAGAGGTGTTATGGGGGCAAAGAATATGATAGGTAATGTACCTGGACCTAATGTTGGTATGGGGGTTGGAGCTTACGGACAGGGTCTTGCTGGTCCTGGTTTTGGTGGTCCTCCAGGTCTCATGCATCCACAGGGCATGATGGGTCCTGGATTTGATCCTGGGTACATGGGTCGAGGAGCTGGTTATGGTGGCTTTTCTGGCCCTGCTTTTCCAGGTATTATTCCTCCCTTTCCCGCTGTTAACCCAATGGGGCTGGCTGGGGTGGCTCCTCATGTCAACCCTGCCTTTTTTGGCCGTGGGATGGGAATGATGGGTGGTACAACGGGGATGGATGGTCCTCATCAAGGAATGTGGACTGATACAAGCACAGGCGGTGGGTGGGAAAGGGAAGAGCATGAAAGAAGGACCAGAGAGTCAAGTTATGGTGGTGATGATAATGCATCTGAATATGGCTACGGAGATGCCAGCCATGAAAAGGGGGCCAGGTCAACTGCAGTTTCTAGGGAGAAGGAGCGAGCTTCAGAGCGAATTTCAGAACGTGCCTCAGAGCGTGATTGGTCGGGCAACTCTGAGAAGAGGAATCGGGATGAGAGAGATAATGACAGGGACAGGTATGATAGGGATCACAGGTACAGGGAAGAAAGAGATGGTTACAGGGACTATCGTCACAAAGAACGGGATTTAGATTATGACAATGAAAGAGGACACTCTTCAAAATCTCGAAGCAGATCCCGAGCAGTGCAGGAGGACGATCATAGATCTCGTTCAAGGGATGCTGATTATGGAAAGCGTAAAAGGCTTCCATCTGAGTAACATAGTATTGCTACAATACTCTGTTATTTTTTACAGGTCTTAGTTGGACTCCTATCACCAAGTCCACAATATTATCCTCATAACATCCTTCTGCAGACTGCTTGAAGGGGTTGCCGCTCTTCCTAAGCTCCATGAAGTAAGAATTTAGCTTAACTTTTATTCTATTTTATGAACTTCAAATGGTTTTAAACAATATATTTGTGCTATGGTCCTGAGGCTATCCAGACATCTGTGATATTTTATATTGTGTTGGGAGGCGAGAGTTATTGTTGCCTGCTGCCCGTCTTCATCTTCATTAAGGCTTTTCTGGTTTAGCTCTCTTGAGCTGGGTTTGCTTTGCTGCCTTTGAAACATGAAACATTTGGAAGGTTGAACCTTGTTATATGTTGTAATGTATTTTAATTTGCTAAAATTTTATTTTGCATTCACCTTTCCTTCATGGGGAAAAGATTGTTTTTTTCCAACTTCTTTATGAGGGTAAAGCTATTGATGGTGTGATTACTTACAGTACCAGTCATTGTGATACATGCCCGTGTGAATGTTGTGGAGTATGAATCATGGTAACTTCAAGTGTTGAAATTCTTCCTGTCTTGATAAGTGGTCACAATTTTTTAAACGTTTTTATATGGATCATATAAGATTGTGGTTCCTGACAGTTTCGTCTTGGCTTACGTCTAATAGGTCACACTAAAATATGGTTTTACTAACTTGTTAACTCATGCCTCTGTGTGGATAATATTCTTATGATGAAATTGTAGTGCTCTATCTTTTATCATTTATAGGTGAGAAGTCTTTGGTTCCATAAGAATGAATGTTCTACCAGCATTATTGAAATGGTCAAATTTTTATAATTTTGTGTCATTATATTCATTGTGCTTAAACATCTCGGAACATAAATGATATGTCAAAGCATTTAATCAATGCAGTTTGTTTTTTGTTCTCTGTGCATGCGAAGGTGTAAACTTTTCATGTTTTCCAAATATACTTGAAAGAAAGATAAGCCCAGCCGTTTCAGGGTTGTTTTAAATGCTGAACAACTTCTTCACTAAGTAGTATGTGTTAAACTACGTGTGCTTTAACGAAGTCTAGATGTTTTCCACCTTCACTTTGTTTGGGGGTGGAAATGTTGCGTGTGCATTTGCCTGTGCAAATAAATATGTCAATATTTGATCTCACTTGATGAATTTTGACATGAGAATTTTCAATTATCGTATTCAGGGAGCAGAGAGGCAACTCTTTGTTTTCATGTCTAAACCTGCATAAGTTGGTTACATGGAGGAGGATGAGTAAACTTGGCTGAGTTCTTTGACAATCCTAGTTTTTGGCCATATTTTGTTTTCCTTGTGAAATCTACATGCGGTTTCTCTTCATGATAGTTTGCATAGAAGATAACAAATCATGATATTGCCTGTTTCTGGAGAAGTATTACCTTGAAATAGGGATTTCTGCTTTCATAAATCCCACTTTAAGCTCTGTGTAGACTCTTTTTTGTACTCTTTTCTGTACATGTAAGTGTTCCAGTCCAATACTTGTTGCCTTTGTACCAGCCTGTAAGAGTGTTGTACTGAGTCTGAACCCCTTATTTCAGTTAATTGGTTCAGCTTTAGTCTCTAGAGCAGTCAGGCTGAACTGTTGTAAAATTTATTTTTCCTCTGTAAAATTAAGCAAATACCCATTCTAGTGGAGGGTTACTCGTCGTTCCCATGGAAAATGTATGAATCTATGAGCTCTAGGATACAAGAGAAAGTGTGCCCTTGGTTAGCCATCTGATGAGCGGCTTTATTGGGAACCGTTGCATATTGCATCCGTTTTTGCAGGGTTGTTCCTGCAACCACGAGCTTATATTCTGTGATTTGTATGTAACAAAAAATCCCATTTTAGGAGTTCCCTTTGTGTTGTAATCAGGTCATATCTTTTTGGTAATCTGTAAATATGGGTTTTTTTTGTAGTTAGATTATATTATATCCCACCTGTAATATTTCGATCCATGTAAGTATGTAACACCATCTGTGCCTGAGGGTTGTTGATGTCTGTAGATTTTTTCTCTTTACCCTTTCAAATTCACCTCTGTAACATGCAAATGTTTTTTTTATTACTATGATTTAAATGTTATGTTTGCCCCGTCCTCCCCTCCCAAAAATGATAATCACCACCTGTGTTTGGAATCATTGATTCATGGGGTTGAGTTGCTTCTGAAATATAGGGGTTCTGAACCAGACAACTCAGTTTGGCAGAGCTTAAAACAGTCGTTTTCCCGGTATTTTGAAATATATTGGGTTCTTTTGGTTTGTTTTTTCTGCCTCTGAGGATTTGTAGTTAAGGTGAATTTCGGGTTTGCCTCAGCTTTGCGTTTTCCTCATGTTCCGTTTCACATTATTTGGTGTATCATATCCTAGAGAATAAGGCTTCAACCTTCTGTTTTGGTGTCTCTATCAGTATGCTCGGGTAAGTTTTGTGTATCGGTACCCTATTTAGACGTTTTTTTTTGTAGGATTTTACTAGGTCTGTTGTTATAGGTAATGTTGTACGTGGTTAGTTATATGGTGTTAACCAAGGCTTGGGTCACAAAATAGACAAAAATGTTTTAGAATTGCAGTATAAATGGAATGAAGAGTTTGATGTTTTGCAGCTATGTACTTGTAAATCTTGTTGGAAATCCCATGCAACATTTAATGTATCAGTGTCTTGTGGTGTTTTGGATGATTGTTTGAGGGAATAGATTAACTTTCAAATGGCTAAAACTAAAGATTATAAATAAAGCTATAGTGCCAATCCCTCATTTAAATGGGTTGTTTGCTAAAATGATGATGTTATCAGCAAAAAATTGTAACTCCATTGCTTTGATTGTTGTTGTTCATGCTTTTGCATGAATTCATCGAGACTTTCGATAGTAGTTTCTTTGTGTTTTCAACGCTTTTCTTGAGATTGGTGATAGTGTTTTCTACATAGGTCACGGCAAACAATTTTTGTATGAGATGTTTGGGTCTTATGTGGGTGTTTGCCTACGACGCCCAATACTTGAACAAATTGAATTGGAGAAACAAGCGTAAGAGATGTTACATTTATTACCCACTTGCAATGAACTATATACGTACGCCTTGTGGAAAGGAGAAACTACATGAATTACACAATATTTTTCGTGAAAAGAAAATGAAATTTTTCTTTTTAACAAACAAAAAGAATACCATTTTACTAGACCCGTGAATGAAGTACATGTGCCTTTGGGTCATTGCAGGGAATATGGATTATGATAATGTTATTTTGAAACGACAAGAGGGAAAATGATTTTCTAAATTATAACTACATATTCGATCATGTTGTGATTTGTGAACAAACGTCAAACAATGTGGATATCTTCTTATAGATTTTTTATTAAGATTTTTACGACTCCTATTATTATTAAGATGACCCATCCAATAAATATATATATATATATATATATATATATATATATATATATATATATATATATATATATATATATATATATGGTGCTTAAGATTTATCTATGTATCTTCCGACTACCATTTTTGCGTCACCTAGAATGGAGAGAGAAATAATCGAAGAGATCAATAGGCACATCAACTTTGAAATTAAGATTTGATATTATGCGTATCATAAACAAACAAATACAATCATTGGTAGGATCTCACATAAAATCATTGTATGTATATGTCTTTAAAATACATAATATCAAACCTTAATGTCAAAGATGGGTATGATCATAAATTTATCTTAATTAAAGCATTAAAGGCAATTACTCCCTCTGTCCTAAAATATTAGGTTTATTTGAAGTTATTTTCAAATCAATTTATACGATTATAAGTGCAAAATTTAAAAAAAAATCATGTATTAAAAATTATATTAAAAGCTCAACAAAATAAGAGATGATATAATTATATTATTTTATTAAATGACGAATATAAATAAATAAAAAAACGATTAAATTTGACATTATAAAAAGTAACTGAAAAGAAAATTTTAAGACGAATACTCGAATAGAGTATAAACAACAATTATGCCTAAAAAGATAGGAATTAATTAAATGGGCTAAAAAAATATGCCAGTTTTGAATTAAAAACAAACAGGCCCTTTGTAGTTCTCCAAACACAGTTTGGGCTTATTTGGTACAATGGGTTTCTGTTTTAGGTCCTTGAAATTATAAAAATTACACAACTCCCCTAAGCTTTTCTTCTTCCTCAAGTTCCCCTCGCGGAACATCTCATCTTGTTCTCATCTCAGATCAGCTCCCAGTCTTCACAAATATTTTTCTCCGGTGAGTCTCCGGCAATTGGACTTCTTTCCGTTCCCGTTCCAGTGGCACTTTGATTTTGTAAATTGATCTTCTTGTGTTCTCGATCCAATCAATAAATTAGGGCTTGGTTGAATCGGAATTGCAATGACAAAGGAGACTATGGATGTCCCAGAAAAGGGTGGATTTAGCTTTGATTTGTGCAGAAGAAACGAGATGCTGGTGAAGAAAGGGGCTCACGCCCCGTCTTTCCTCAAGACTGGAACTACCATCGTGGGCTTGGTTTTCCCGGTATGAACTTCCCCATTGCTTGAAATTTACGATATTTAGTTTGTTCTGAAGTTATATTATGTTTAGTTTTCATGTTTGTGGGATCGCTCATTTTTAGTTCATTTCCAAGACCCTTCTTTTAGGAGATTATTAATTTTATAGCTCTTTGGTTAAAACTATCCTTTTCATTGTTACCTGTGCAATAAATGTGATCTTGGGAGCAATGTGTACAAGTGTTCTGCTGCTAAATGTGATGTTTTTGTATTTTGAGTTGAGCTAGTGCAAAATGATGTGAATTAGCTACCCAACAATATCTGTTGTTCATTGTGATCTTGATGTTTAGAGAAGCAAAACAAGATTTCTTAAGAACACTGTTACATTTTTCAGTTAAAGTTGTTAGTAACGGTGTTAATTCGTGCAAAACCAATATTTAAGCCCCCTTACTAATAAGAGAAAAAAGGCTAGTTTGCTCTAGTGGATGACTTATCTCTCAGTGTTTCAAAACCACAAATTTGTTATTTTATTTTGAGAAGGGTATTATTTTACTCCGTCTGTCTCACAAAAAAAATGTCAACTTTGAATTCATGGAGACAAATAAAAGTGTTGAAAAATGAGAAGTGTGTAGTTCGAATTTTTTTAGAAGAGAAATATTGGGAGGAACATACTTCTTTCATTCACTTTTCATTGGCCATCATGACGCTTGTGATATATCAAATTTTGAATGAATATGCACAACGGAAGAAGAAAGTTGGTAGATGGACATAAGAAAAAAGAAAGAAAATCTTTGTGGGATAGAGGGGAGTATTTAAAGGGCTCATAGTTTTACACTTTCACTACTAACTTTATAAATAGTTGTGATGACACTGTTTTTCTGTCTTGTGCTGGAATATGCCACTATTCTATCTGCCTCAGAATCCTTTGCTGACTAGTGGGCTGTATTGCATGAATTGTGTATGATCCATTGTGTTTTACTACCACTATCAATAAAGACTAACTTCTAATAGATTTGTCTCCCACTTCACAACCAGACTGACTAAGTTAGGTTGGAAATCAGTTTAAATGGAATCTTAACTGTAGTATTACTCAATTCAACTGTCTAATTATACCTCTCAAGTAATTATGTGTGCATATTTCTTCTAGTAATTGGTGTGCTTAGTTGGAACTGTGGCTAATGTGTTGGAACTTTGATAATCAATCTCATTGCAAGACAAGACCGTCGTTGAATTGCCTCAGAAGTAATATAATTGATTTTTTTTTCCAAACCAGTTTGGCAATTTAGGAAACATTATTTCTTTGTGTTGGGAGGTATTTTATATTGATATTAATGGTGGATGGGAAAAGTCCTGTCATTTGGAGCCACCATAGCCTATGGTCCGAATCTGGCATGCCATTCTAGCATTCTACCATATCAACAACTTAATGACACTGGGTGTGTG